CCCCAAAACCCCAAAACCCCAAAACCCCAAGATATTATTTAAATTTAATAAAAGTGCGCAAATGGCCCATTCAAGAATTGGTAAGGACTTAAAGAGCTTTAAGGCTTGGCTTTTACAGATTTTAACAAAGCAATATCATTATTTGTCTAGTCATTGATGACCTAGACTACAACGATTGTCCTGAGATCAATATCCAGGACATGGAATTCCTGACATCAAAACCGGATGATGTAGACACTGAGAGAGGTAAGGAATTTTTCAACATAATTAGGCACAAATGGGGATCTTAGCCATTATCTGTACGATACAAACTCCGATGAAAAGAATCAAGCCAATGAGAGTAAGGCTCTAGTCTTCTAACTTTAGGAGTAAGAATTAAAATCATCATGATAGATACTGAATTTGATCGATTTCTTAGAATCCAAGCTTAAGAGTGAATCCTTGCCCTTGTCTTTATGTAAATAAGCCCTTAATTTTTAGTGAAATGTGTGGAAATATCTCAGGAATCACCTATTGCACTGAGACTGTTGCACTCATTAGTAAACACAGGAGATGCTCATTTGAGGAAATATTATGAAATCCTACAAAAATATTACATTGAAGGAGAGCCCAAACCCGAAGATCTAGGTAAGCTTTCCAGTAACGTTCAGAGCTCGAAGGGATCGACATCGATGACACAGAGGATTGGCTTGATTCAGAGTGGACAGAGATCAAAGAAACTGATATCAAAAATAGTAAAAATTACATCCGGAAAGTATCTAAGGCCAGAATGATAGGTGAAGAGACTGGATTTGACTCCAAAGTTAGCACTCTACTTCAGAGATGAGACCAGACCTTTACAAAGTACTTCGAAGAAGACTCAAGATCACCTCAGGAGTCCAAAGTGGAGCAGTTCATCTCTCTTTGTAACGAGACTGAAGAGTTGAAGTCTAAGCTCGAGGAAGAAGAGGTGGACAACCAAAGATTAGCCCTGAAATTAAACTCTTTAGACAATGAGCTTTCTTCTCTTCTAGTGAATCACATCGGTAGCTCAATTACCCAAGAATGTGAGTATGTAGAGTCCTCAACTGAGATATTGAAGGAGAAAACCAGTAACTGTCTCAATGAAGCTGATGTGGTCAGAAACTCAGTTGATGACCTCACATATGGAGATACATACAAGAATGTTCTCCTGAAGATCAAAGGTAACATTATGATTAATCTCCAGACTCATTCACCAGGAAATTATCAGAACATAAGATTGAGAAGGAGAGGCTTATAGTTGAGATTGAGGAATATGACAGCAATAGGCTTCATTTGGCCCCACTATTGCATCAATATAGCCAGATAATGGCCAAGACCAGAGAGATAGACAGGCAAGTTACCCAGCTAATGTCATAAATTTCAACCTCTCTTTAAATGATTGGGGTTTTGGGGTTTTGGGGTTTTGGGGTTTTGGGG